GGCCCGCAGCCATGGAAGATTTAATCGTGATCTCGGACGACAGCGGCTCCGAGAGCTCCGGGGGGGCCCGCTCGGGCCGAGCGCGGAGGCTCCGCCGGGCCCTGTCCCGGACCCCCGGCGCGCTGCCCCGCCGGACCGTGGTGAGTGACCTAGTCGCCGCCCGCCGAGCCCCGCTGCGACCGGAATGTCGCCTCGGCTCAGGCCGCGCATCTTTGCGACCCTCAGCTGGGCCCGCGGGCCCGCCGCCCGCCCCTTGGCGCCTCACAGCTGCAGCCGCTTCCCGCCTAGCCGCCTTCCCGGCCTCTCCGGCCCGGAGGAGCGTGGCCGGCCTCCCGGGCGCGGCGCTCAAGCACATGGACGACATCCTGGCGCGCCTGGTGCGGGATTCCCAGAGCCTGCAACAGGCGGCGGCCTTAGGCCGGAGGGGGAGTCCTCAGAGCTTTGGCGGGGGCTGGGGCGGGGGGGGCTGGAGGGCTCCTTGCTGGGCCGCAGCAGCGACCCGGACCTCGAGGCAGGATCTCGGGAGCGCGTAATTGTTTGGCTTGTAGTGGGCACAGATGTATGCAGGGAGGTAACAGGAGCCCAGGCTGGGAGGGAGGGAAGCGCGGGCCTGGGCCAGATGGTGGCCGCGCTCCAGGGCCTGGCTGCCGAGCCAGGGGCCCGATTTTGGAGTTGTGCAGGAAGGTGATTTATTTCGCTTAACAAACATTTACCATATACCAAGACCTGAGGGAATAGGGGGTCAAACATCTTGCACTATTTCCTTTTCCCTCAGGCCCCTTCACTTTTGTCCTTCTTCCTGAGGTGGTGAATAAAATGTGCATGGTCCCTGCCTTTCGAGAATCCTCCACAGATATTTTTTGAATCCCTACAATGGGCCGGATGTTTTAGGAACTGGCAATATAGTGGAGAATAGGCATCCAAGGTCCCTGTTATAGAACGTGATATATTCAACAAGTGGTTATTGAGTACCTACTCAAGGGGTAGGTGGTGGACAGCTTTCTATCGGATCTTCAACAATCTCCCCAGCCTCCCAAAGCCACACCCCAGAAATGAAAGAAGGAACAAGCTGATGTTATGTGTATTGATAATACAGTTGAAGGAAAACATCATGCTTCATATGTAGTCTCCTGGCTTCTGCTCCCCCAATTCCCTTTTCAGCCAGTTTGCAGTCCCTTAGCCTCCACTGTGAACCCCTTCTGTGTTCCAGGTACAGTGATAAGTGGTAGGTGATCGCTATAGAATAAATGGCATGCAAAATTAGTTAACATATAATGTTACGTTGCCATAGTTCCAGCAAGAGGGACTCTCAGTACATCTTAGTGAAGAATTTAGTTGAGTTGGGCAGCTGATGAGGTGGACAGACAAGAGATTTTCAAGGTAGAAATGACCCGACTTCTTGAGCAAATGACTGTACCTCTACTGCTGTGGCAGAGTATGTGGAACATAATAGATCCACAGTAAATATTTGTTGTATGAAAGAATGATTTGGAGGAATGGGGGAGAGAGAGCACTGTTCAGGTGGATGTTTAATAAGAGCAACTGTAAGACTAGGAGCACACTCAGAGTGGAGGAGATGCTGAATTCAATTTGAACTTACTGGATTTAGAGTGCTATGGGAAAAGTAGATGGACGTGGCCAGTTCAGAGGAGTTGGACTCTGGAGAAAAGTCAGGACTGGAGAGATTTGGCAATCATCCAAATTGAAAGGAGTATTGAATTCCAAACAGTGAATGAGATTGTCAAGGAAAAGAGTATAGAGAGAAAAAAGATGGGAGGAAGAATTACTGTGGAATAACTCAAAACTGCCTTTCCTCCTAGTTTCTCCACATTCCTACTGCCCCTTATCTCGGTCCCCATTTAACTTTGTCTTTCATATCTGCTTTATTTCCTCCCAGGTATTTTACATTTTCCTTCATCCTGGTCCATCTTCCTTCTTCAGTGTACAGATGTCGTCCTTATCCCAGCCTGTTTTGTGTGTTGTAGCCCCTCACACATATATGGCTTGTGTTCCCTCCCATATGACCACACACCAAGCATTTTGATCTTGAGCCTTTTCAGTTGAATAGAAATGAAGGGCAGGTTCCAGAGAGCAATACCCGGTTTAAATCTTGCTTCTCTGGATACTCCGACTCTCTAAAAGCTCCAAACTTCTTTTATCTTTCCTGCAAATTAGATAAGGATAGTACGATAATGTTGTAAAAATCAGAGGCATTGAGAGACTTGCAAGGTTATAAAGCCTAAAGCGCCTTTCTCTAGCTTTTCCTGAGGCTCTGAGGTCAGAGAGACTTCTGCTCAAATCAGGATCCCCCACATAGCATCTATGTGAGCTTTGGCAAGTTCTATCACATCTTTCAGCTTTTGAGCCTGAGAACATTAATACCTACCTAGAAGGAGTCATAATGAGGCAATACAAGGAAGGTATCCAGCATAAATGATAGCTTTTGCCTGACTTTCTCAAGCTTGGCAGGCAATGACAGAAAAGAAAGAAGTGTTATATGTTTTTTTCTTTTTTGTAAATATTAAACAAGGGGAAATAACTCACTTGAATTCAGCAAATCAGAAAGTCATCTCATACTGTAGTTGACACTCCTGAACTCCCAGTTCTTAACCTGGGCTTTAGTCTTCACTGAGTTAATGAGGTGTGTCTGTGTTTTCAGTAGTATTTCTTTCAATAAAACATATTTATTTTTATAAAAGTACAACATTTTCAGATAGTCAATTAATTTTGGTTGATCTAATTGTAAAAAATTTACAAATGTATAAAGAAAGTTAAAACTGCCCTTAATCTCACCATCCAAAGATAACCAAAGTTAACATTTTTGTGTGTGTGTCTTTTTTCGTGTCCGGCAACGGATCGCAACCCTCAGTGTTGCGCCCGTACCGGACCGGGACCGGCAACGGGATCGCAACCCTCAGTGCTGCACCCGCACCTCGCTCAGCCAGTGAGCGGGAACCGGTCTGTATGTGGGATCCGAACCCTCGGCGGGAGCGCCGCCGCACTCCCAAGCGGCACACTGTAGCAGTGCGCCACCGGGCCGGCCCCAAAGTTAACATTTTGATGAATGTCTGTCTAAACTTTTACCTGTAAATGCACATGTACTCATACATACCTATGTGTCCCCCCATACATGTTTTTACAAAATGAAGTCTTGCTACCTATGGGGGTTTTATATTGCCTTTTTCTCCTAATATATTTTGGGGGGGGGTTTTTTGTTTTTTTTTTCCTTTTTGTCTTTTTTTCGTGACCGGTAATGGGATCACAACCCTCAGTGTCGTGCCCGTACTGCGACCAGCAACGGGATCGCAACCCTCGGTGTCGCGCCCGCACCGCGCTCAACCAGTGAGTGGACCGGTCTCTATATGGGATCCGAACCCTCAGCGGGAGCGCCGCCGTACTCCCAAGCACCGCACTCTACCGAGTGCACCACTGGGCCGGCCCTCTCCTAATATATTTTGGATCTCTTTCCATACCAATAAATACGTATCTTCAATTTTTTTTTAAAGATGACCGGTAAGGGGATCTTAACCCTTGACTTGGTGTTGTCAGCACCACACTCTCCCAAGAGCTAACCAGCCATCCCTATATACGGATCCGAACCCATGGCCTTGGTGTTATCAGCACCACACTCTCCCAAGTGAGCCACCAGCCAGCCCAATATCTTCAATATTTTTAATGTATTCCCTTGTACAGATTTATAGTTATATTTATGATCTCCTATTTATGGATACGATGTCTTTGTTTCTAAATTTTCTCCATCATAAATGACACAGTGAGAAATTCCCTCATAAATAATCTTTGTACCCTTGTTAGATAGGCTCCTCTTAGAAGTGAGATTGCTGGGCCGGTCCGGTGGCGCACTGGAGAGTGCACCGCTTGAGAGCACGGTGGCGCTCCCGCCAAGGGTTCGGATCCCATGTGGAGACCGGTTCCCGCTCACTGGCTGAGCGTGGTGCAGGCGCGACACCGAGGGTTGCGATCCCGTTGCCGGTCAGCAAAAAAAAGACAAAAAGGGGAAAAAAAAGAAAAGTGAGATTGCTGAGTCAAATGGTATGCCCCTGCTTTCAAGGCTTTTGATATATATTGCCAAATCTCCTACAGAAATTGTGTCCTAATCCTATTCTCATCATATATCACTAATTATATATCTCATCAGTATATGATCAATCATACCCCTTTCTCAACTACTCAGTCACCCCTAGGTATTGTCAGTTTATTCAGTAAATATTTAATGAACATTTACTATATTCCAGGTATGCTTATACGTCCTGGGAATACGTCTGTGAGCAAAACCAAGTCCCTGCCCTCGTGGAGATTTCATTTCAGTTGGGGAGACAAACAGTTCAAAACCACGTTAATGTAGTATCAGGTGATAATACAGAGTGTTAAGAAGAAAAATAAGATATTTGTGTCCTTTTAATCTTTGCTAATTTGGGAGCCTGTGATGTCATTGTGATTCTGTGAGCTGTCATGGTTTTAATTTTTTTCTTTGACTGTGTCACCTTTCTCATTCATTCAATAAATACTTATTGAGCACATGCCCTGACCCTGGGGACCAGAGGTGAACAATATGACAATGGAACTACATTCTATTGGGGAAAGATAAACAGTAAACAAATAAGTGAACAATATAGTAAAGAGTAACTTGGGTAAAGTTGGGAACATTAGATTGTGTTTTCAGAGAAGGCCTCTTTGAAGAGTTAATATTTAATCTGAGACCAAAATGACAGAATAAATTTGTTACGACAGTATCTAGGAGATTAAACTAGCAGCAAGGAGAATAGCAAAAGCAAAGGTTCAAAGGTGGAAATGAGCATGACTTATTGGAGGAATGGAAAGGCTGGTGGGGCTGGTACATAATGAGTGAAGGACAGAGTCAGAAGATATGAGAAGTAGGTGGATTAGGTTATAAGGCCTTCTAGACCACAATAAGGAATTTGGATTTTAGTCTAATGCAATAAGAAATCTTTGAAGGGTTTTAAGCAGAGCAATGACATAACTTGATTTACATTTTTTAAAGGAGACTACTTATTTATTTATTTATTTCGGTGGCTGGCCAGTAAGGGGATCTGAACCCTTGACCTTCAAAGGTGACTTTAGCCACTGTGGAAAGAAAAGATCATAAGGTAGGAAGACCATA